GATGGCTAAAACACGTGCCCACAAGCTTCTGCCCTAACTCACAGAAACAACCTTCCTGCTCCACCGGCTGCCTATGATATCGTCTGCAATTTCTCCACAGGCTGTTGGGTGCCATGACTACCCCTGCACATGAGAGAGCCTAGGATAGGGGTGACAGGTGGGCGGCTTATGCTACTTCTAATTCCAGCAGCTGCCACGGCTGTGTGAACCTGGGCAAAGCCTCGAGGCCTCCTCTGGGGGTGCAACTCCAGCCTACAAACAATTCTGAGCATGCCCACACACAAGGGTCCATAAGAGGGCACCTGGGGTGAGGGAGCCAAGGGCTTGCCTTGCAGGGGGAGAGTGGCAGGTGCCCCAGGAACCACACACAGTGGAGTGAGCGCGAGAGCCCAGGTGAGGACAAAGCTGGAGGCTGTAAACTCCACACACACAACGTGCTATGCATGCTTTCTGTACTGCTCTCAAACTACACGTGTATAAGTCACTCATATTTTAGAAATAGAAACATAGAAGTGAAGCATCTAGTAAAGAATCTCTCTAAGATAGCCATGCAACTGCATGCTGTGATAAAGAAAATGTAACATACAGTTAAATTTCTGTAAACTGACCTTGAGACATACGTGCGGTCATAAACAACCCCCTCAATCTCTAATCTTGAAGAAAGATGCAACGCTGCACCATCTGGCTGATCTTGGAAAAATGATGTAACTCACTAGTCTTGATTAAGCATGACATCACCTGGCCCTCATCGTGTGAAGCCAAGGTGAAAAAATCACATATAAACCCTAGACTTTGGCACATTCACCGAGAGAAGGCAGCAGCAAAAGGTCTCTCTGACTCTCTCTGAAGACTGAGAGCGAGAGCCTGCTGAGATACTGCCAGCTGCATCTGACCTCACACCCTAGCTATGGAGGACCTCCTCTGAGTTTAAGCCATAGTCAAGCCTGAACCCTAGACCACTTGTTAAAGGTAAATGCCTGAAGTCTACAGATTTGGATTCTAACCACTGAACTAACACTGTGATTGTTAATTCTGATTCTCCAGTTTTAAATGGATGTCTTGAGGTCTTCCTTGCATGTCCTGCCATGACTGCCTAAACAAGTATATGCATGACAAACCTGAGCATTTCTCCACTTATTTCAAAACAAAAATCCTCACATGACACACCTATAGCTTCCAGTTCACATCTCTCATCCAAGAGTCTTTTCTGAGCTCCCGACTCTCATCTAGAACCACCTGGATGTCCAGTGGACACCTCAACATGTTCAAAGCTCAACCCCCCCGTCTCCACCCAAACCTGCTCCAACTACAGCCACCGTCAGGCCAGGCGACCACAGCTCCACCCTCCAGCACTCAGGCCACGGTCCTCAGAGCTCCTCTCTTCCTCCCATGTCCAGTCTGCCAGCAAGTCCTGTTGGCTCTCCTTTACACATGTCCAGAGTCCACCACTTCTTAAGCCTCCACAGCCACCCTCCTGTCCATGCCACCCCCCCCCCCACCTGGACTAGTGTAACACTCTCCTAGCTCATCTCCTTGCTTCCGCCCCTGCCGAGCACAGAGGGTTCCTTCTAGTCCCTACAATCCCAAATCAGATCAAGTCACTCCTTGGATCAAAGCTCTCCCTGCCTCCCATCTCACACCAAATAAAAACACAGGACTCTCAGTCTCTAGATGGCCTACATTAATCTGCTCAGAGGGAGGGCCATGGCCCGAGACCCATCCTGACAAGGTAAGTACAGACACTGAAAGTAGTTAGAAATTTTCATAACCACCTGATATTGCTGCAGCATCCCAGCACTGATACATGGGTACTGGTCTGTGATTGCGTTTCAGAAGCCCTGCCTATCTAGCACCACTACTGGTACGCTCACCTCTCCGCCTCCCCCAGCTCTAGCCCACCTCAGGGTCTGTGCGCTGCTGTCCATCTGCCAGGAATACTCTTCCTAGATCTTCACACAGCTAACTCCTCCTCCACCTTCAATCCTTGCTCAGTGAACCTTGTACTAACCACCCCATTTAATATTAATATTGCAAACCACTCCCCTGCTCCTCAGACTTGTTTTTGTTTTTCTGCTTTCCAGAGCACATATCACCCACCACCACCACCCCTTGTCTGTCCGTCGTACTGTGGGAGCTTGTGTGTTGCTGTGATGCTGGAAGAAGCTATGCCATCGGTATTTCAAATACCCGCAGGGTCACCTATGGTGGACAGGTGTCAGCAGAGCTTCCAGGCTAAGACAGACTAGGAAGAATGGCTTGGCAATCTACTTCTGAAAATTAGCCAATGAAAGCCCTATGGATCGCAACAGAATATTGTCTCACATAATGCTGGAAGATGAGCCTCCTAGGTTGGAAGGTACTCAAAACGCACAGTCACCACAACAATGGACTTGACCATATCAACGACTGTGAAGGGTACAGGACCAGGCAATGTTTGGTTCTGTTGTCCTTGGGGTAGCTATGAGTCATAGCTTACTTGACGACAACTAACAACAATATCACCTAACATGCTGTATGCTTTATGATGTTTACTGTCTCCTTGCCTACGAATATGTGAGCTCCACAAGGCATGGGTCTGGGCTTGGTGCTTAGCACTGTGCCTGACACACAGGGGAACTCTATGAAGACCTGCTGAAGTGGGGAGGCCCCTGAAGCTGTGCCCCACAGGCAGGTATCAGCAAGCAGAAGGCTCTGAGAAGGTCAGGAGTGTTTTCGTGAGAATACGAGAATCAGAATAGACTGAGTAGTTGGGGGAGGTGAGGTCCACTAGGGGAGGGCTTTGTCTGCTACGTCAAAGGGTCCGATTGGACCCTGCAGGGACCCCTGGGACTCAAAGGGGGCTTTCTGAGACCTGGGACCAGAGCATCCTTTATAAAGATAACTCGGGGGGACAAATGGAAGGTGGACCGGAATGGGGAGGCTAACAGTAAAGACACCAATCAGAAGGCAGGCCTGAACTGAGGCCAGAGAACTAGAGATGCAGGGCAGAATGTGGGAGATTCAAAGGTTAGTCCCCCAGGTGCAGCTGGGGGGCAGAGAGGACAAATGTGGCACTCTGCGACAAGGGGAGTTCTCCTCGAGGCGACCATGGCCCCAGCCCAAGCTGCTGAGTGCAGCTGCCCACACGGTGCCCTGTGCTGAGCCCCGCCCCTTCCCAGCCCAGCCCCAGTCTGGACCCGTGCCCGCGGCCCTCCCCTGTGGGGCCTGGGCTCTAGGTGTGCCTGTCACAGATGTCCCCATAAATAGCCTGTGTTCCTCAAGACCATTTTCCCAGTGGTCACTGTCATTCTGACTTTACTGTGCTGGATTTCAAGCCAGTGGATTCAAGGCAACTCGGCCAGTGTGCACATATTAAGCACCTACTTTATACCCAACACTTAGTGAGGAGCTAAGAGAGAAGACAAAAGGAACGTGGGCCGGTGCCCCACCCTCAGCCAGCTCGCCATGTGGGAGAGTGTGAAGAATGGAGGACACATATACTCTACACGTCAAGGACAAAACTTGACACCAGGAAACACCTGCGTGCCCAAAACCCAGCTGAGGCAGAAGAGACCATCAAAGAAAATTATCCTTAACTCATACCACAGAGCTGAGGTAGAGGAGAAATCCTCATGGGCTTTTACCTGAAACAATTTGGCAAACTGTGTGCATGTGGGGCTGGGGTGAGGGGCAGGAGCAGGACGAGGGCCTGCTGACTCTGGGGAGTCTGCCTGGGCCACAGTGGAAGGACAGGCAGGTGAGTGAGGCCTGGTGAAGGCAGCCAGCTATAGGCCTGCCAGGCCCAATCTTAATATGCAAATTTCCAACACAGTAGATGCGGGAACACCAAACTAGCCACTGAAGACTCAAACAGACCCCAACCTGTCACTGAATGGGTAGGACACGGGAAAGATAAAGAACATGGAGTTCTGTGAATGCTGGGAACCTGCCAGAAATATCCCTGAGTATCTGGTGGGAAGACAGGGATGAACGCAGGTGCCTCTGGGTGGGCTTTCAACCACTCTTTGACCATTTACATTCTTTACAGTGCAAAGCTGATGCTTGTTACGTTCCCAAACGTCATTTTAAAATAAGTCAAAATTCTGTGTAAACTCTTAGGGTATGCAGGAAAACATCCCAAAGCTAAATATAGTGATCACACAAATACCCAAGTCAAACAAGCTGTAATATTAATGAAGCATGAATGAACAGCAACTGTTTCCAGGGCTGAGAGGCAGCGCCTTATCAGGGATGCACACAAAGCACTTCAGCAGAGCCCCTTCTGTAAAAGCAGAAGAGAGCTGAGCCCACTGGAGATGCCAGGCAGACCATACCAAGAGTATTTTCTAGTAGACAACAGTGAAAATCTGCTTCCAGTTTAACCTGAAGCAGCTGAAGACTCTGGCCAGGATACATTTTTAATTAATCAAAAGAAAAGACCCATTTTTAGTCACCCATTGAATTAGGTATACTCACACAACACAACCTAGAACTGCAGTACAGCTAACTCTCTGTCAACATGGTAATGGGGATTTTAGAAAGGACAGCCGATCACTGGGAAACAAGCCCATCTCACTTTATTCACAGCAAAGCATATATTACTGCAATAGGGACGATGGCCTCCAGTGAGGATGCACCGAGGACCATCTGCTTGTCTGGCATGTGAAATTTTAAGCCACACGTTTCTGGTTCAATAAGCCATGTGGTCTGACACACCACTGACACACTTGTCTGGGTAGACACAGAGCCCACCTCCAACTTCTCAGGGCGTGGAGACACCCCATGCCTTGCGCAAATAGCAATTCTTCTACTGCACCTACAGCAGAGCTTCTAGCAGGTGATGTGTGACGGTGAGAGGTGAGCATGGTCAGACCACAGGTCCTGGGAGACAGGAGAAGGAGTCCTGGGTCCGCTAGGCCCAGAAGGAGGCAGGGAGAGAGTTGGCTGTACTGGCCCGGCAAGCACACCCCAGCAGGCTGCACAGTATTTCTAGGAATGAGAAAAGCAAACCGCCATCCCACCTCGGGCTGCACGGTCACAAGTGAGGCAGGGCTGGGACCAGTCCCCATTTGGGTGGGCAGCCAGCCCCAGGTGTGGCAGGAAGGGATGGCGCTGGCTCAACGGCTGCAGCTCCTCACTCTGACCCAGCGGGGCACCTGCGTGGTGCTGGGGGCACAGCGAGGCCTCTGGCGCTGTGGGCAGGGACACACACACACATATACAGAGAAACACGCCATTAGAGGACCACAGCAGCCTCTGTAAGAGGGCACACACATAGGCAGGCCGCTCCAAGGCCTGCCGCCCCCATGGCCACTGGCGACACCCCAACTTGAACACACAGCTGGAGCTCGAGGCCTGAGGGAGCCAGAGTCCTCAGAGCAGGGACCAGAGGAGCCCAGTGGGAGATGTGACTAAAGGCACAGGTCGGCGTGAGGATGAGGGCCCCACGCTCCTGCACCAGGAACGTTCCACACACTGGTTATGAAATGTGCTGGCACGTCAACTCCTTTGTATACTCTCGCTTTATGAGAATAATGAGTATGGAAGGCATCTGAAGAGAAGTGCTCTCCTCACCACACAGTGGGACGACTGCCTAAAGGAAGACTTTCCTGGGGTAGAGGGTGGGAGAAAGGCCCTTGAGAGAAATAAAGACAATTTCACTTCTCAAAGGGCAATCTTTGGTTCAACTTAATCCAGAGGGAGACTTCTGAAGATTAAATTTAAATTTTTTTTCAAGTGGTTTCACGAATGTCACAACCTTTGCTTAAACAGAGGAATTCAAATTGAGAAAAAAAAATGACATTAACTAGAAACAGGACAAGAAAATACAATCTACTCCAAGCTTGATGACCATTTAGAATTCCTAGGGGCAGGAAATCTGACTTCAATATGCAAATAGCCTATCTGACTCACTTCTCAAAATGCTGGTGATCATGGTGGAACATCAAATTGAAACCTGCCAAAGCAGGAAACATTAGTAAGTGGTCTGGTAGCAGAACCACTGTCAGTCAGCAAGGGTTGACAGGAGTTTGTCAAACTACAAACAACTTCCTTTAAAAACTCTTTTTTTTTCTTTTATGTTGACGTAGTATCACTGACTCCAAAAAGAAAGGGTGTAGGGATCTGCCCTTTAGTCCACCCAGGTGATACAATTTCAGCAGCTTCCTATCCGCAGGCAGCTAGTGCTGCTCATCCCCAGTGTGGGGGCTGGCTCTGTGAAGATGGAGGGGCACCCATTCCTGAGATCACTCTCAGCCAATGGCCATGATGTTCAATGTGGCTTACAGAAACCAGCTCCGTCAGCCCCTGAACTCCACTTCTGCTCCCTGAAATCTCTTCTGAATGCTGCAGAGTCAGGCAAAAACCCAAAGAAGCCCTACATGCAAAAATAGAACAGACAGCCCACTCAATACAGACCCAGCCGTGCATCCACATCATGAAGAGATCCTGTGTGCATTTTTAAAAAGGGGGCCTTGAGCACTCTAAAAATCTGTAGAGGTTTTGGGCTTTTCTCATTTTACGTTAGACAGAGATGCTTGCTCTTCACGCTTTGTGCTACTGAAGTAGAATAATACACTGAGGCATTCAGGAGACCTGCAGCTCAGTCATCAGAAACACATTTAATATAACATTAAAGAAACAAGATCATCAAGAAAGAGGAGTCATTTCTTCCTAACTACCAAACATAGTCAATCCCCAATGCCTGTGCAGCAAGATAACCCCTCTGCTCTAGATCCCTCCTCGGACTCCTCTAGATCACCCCTCTTTGCCCACCTTCCTCCTGAGGGTGCAAGCCCCTGCCTACATGTACAGAAACAGAACTACCAAGAAGCCCAGGACCTCTGGTACTACCCAGCGAGCCCAGTCAATGGACTGAAGGACCCTTCATTGCCATAACTCCACCCAGACCAAGGGGTGTGTTGTCTGGGTCCTAGAAGCTCTGCACTGGCTATCGCCCTCAGCCTAGAGCACCTGGCCACCTGTGGCCCGGCACAGCTGTGTCTCACACAGCGAGAGCTCGGGCAAGGGGTGGAGGCTCCACGAGTACTCACAGCCATGGTAGGAAGCTGGCGAGCCCCCAGCCTTGCCATACTCCTGCTCGGAGTAGCTGGTGGAGAGGTTGGGCTGGCTGGAGCCACGGCCGAAGGTGATCTGGTTGCTGCCCATGCCCGTGGCAACCTGGGCCATGCGCTCTTTGGTTTTGAGGGCCTGGGCCCTCTCAGCCTTCAGTCGCTCCTCATCTTTGAGGAGGGCCACCAGCTGCTTAGACTTCTCGCGCACATTGACGCCCTGGTCCTTGCCATCACGGTCGATGTACTGGAAGTCCTTCAGGGTCTGGATGGCAAAGATGTTCTCACGGCACTGCTGGGCCACCCGCTCAGAGCCTGTCTTGATGAGGTAGTCCAGCAGCGTGAGTGCCTTGTACACGTGCCGCCAGTTCTTGCCATGGTCATTGAGTCGCTTCCACACCATGCTCATGATCTCTGAGAAGGCCACCACATTGTAGGTCAGATCTGCGATCTCTGTCATCAGGGAGCTGGACGGACCCCACGGGTCATTGGAGGTAGCTTCCCGGACTTTTATTTCAGCTTCTGAGTAATTATTCACAATGTTCTTCATCTGCCGTCTGATAGACGAAGTCGTCATTTTTATTTTCTTTGTTCCAAATTTAAAGACTTTTAAAGTGAAAAACTTTCCTGTTCTCAGTAAGCTCACGCCCTATGAAGGGTCAGTTTCCGTAACCAACCTGGAGTTAGATCCCTGAACAATAATTTCCTCCGCTGGAGCCTTGGCCTTGGGAAGCCATGACCTACAGAAAGAAAGAAAGAAAACACTCCACTGTGACCTGAGTCCCCCACAGTGGGAAGACGTGGGCTCAGACATGTTTGCAGGCCTCAGGTTTTGGGGTATGAAAGAGAAGCCGTCTTTCTTTCAAAACTAAGATAAATATTATAAGTTAATAATGAATAAACTTTAAACTCAAATTTACTTCTTTTTGGAAGAAAAGAAGTAAACATCATGACTATTGTTCTGTTTTCAAAACACTTCTACTGGAACCTGTCGACTCGACAGCAACAGGTTTGGGTTTTTTTTTCCCTACTGGAATGACCATTTTGCGTGCCGTACTTTCACTGCCTGGCAAAAGAATCAGAATATTGGGGGAAGTCAATCCTGACAGATTTTAAATTACACATACGGCAAGAAAGCCCCTCACTTCAGGTATATCTTAACCCAAAATACCTGTCTATACCTTTAAACTTATTTAACATCTTGGCTTTGGATTTTTCCTTGAGCACCACTCTTCTCCTGACCTTCCCTGCTTAAGGATTTATAAAGATTCATGACTGATTTCCTACAGCAAGGCTGAAGACCTCCATCTGGCTTCCAAAAGCCTCCAACATCTGACCCAAGCTAATACAATCTTAAAAATATTCGGTTCTAGTCCGACTCCCTCATTCACAGAGGAGAAAATTGAGACTCAAGATTACATGCTAACTAGTCTACCCAGCCCTACACTCCAAACACATCCATTCTCTCTCTTCTTTTGATGAGAAACATTTACTGAGCTAAAGTTAGGTCCACGTCCCCAACTGCTTCACAAGTTTGGGGACCCCCACCTGTGTTGCTCACTGAGCAGGACGCAGCACCCAGCACTATGCCTGGCACAGGGAGACAGGCATTGCTGAACAGATGGATGAAACAGGTAACAATGTCCTTGCTTTCAAGATGGCTGCAGTCTAGTGGGGGATGGAGGTGAGCAAAGGGGGATCTGGGGGCACAAAGGCAGAACAACCAACTCAGTCTTTGGGGCTGCAAAGGGGGTGTAGGAAGGATTTTCTGCCAGAAATAACACTCAGTAGGCTCTTCAGAGCTGAATAAAACTGATTACGGGAAAGGGACAGAGAGCAAGAAAGAAGTGGTTATGCAGATGATTCCTCTTTGAAAAAATAAGGAAACTGTTGTATTTCTATACAATAGAAATGAACAATCTGAAAAGGAAATTAAGAAAATAATTCCAGAAAGGTAAGAAGATTGCAGCTTAGACAGATGCACTTTAACGTCCCCCCAAAACAAAGACTTGAGAAACCAAGTGGAACAGATACAAACAATGACCCTGGATCCCTGAACATCACAGGGAAGGCTGAAGAACTGGAGTGAGCAATGACTGGAAAGAGAATGAAATCAATAAGAATGCAGAGATTCTCAGAGAGTCCCTGCCCAACTGGCTGGCTCAACACTGCATGGCCATCTTGAGATGGCAGCAAACAATATCCCTAGGTAAGGAGTCCAGGGAGGCAGCTTCACAGAAAAAACAGCTAGAGACAGAGATACTGAGTGAACAAACCTAGAGAGAAACGAGGCAGGGAGGTTGTGTGCCGGGACCAAACTAGCTCAAGAAAGAGACAGGAGAGAGTCCCACAGCTTTGAAACTAGGGAAACACACGGAAGTACCACTGGAGCAAAATGGGGTAAAATCATTGGAGCCTCAGGACAGGGGACTGTTAAGACAGGGAGTGCAGCTCTGTGGAGGGAAGAGGGAAGATGCAGGAAAGTGGGAGAGAGCTTCAGAGTCCCTGGAAAACACAGAGAAGGGAGGGATCTAGAAACTAGTGACAGGACTTCCTATCAACAGTGGTGCATGACCATTGGGGCAGGAGACATTCATTGAACAGTTAAATAGCAGGGTAATGATCAGAACTTTCCCCCTTGACCAGCCCCATGCCAATCCCCCTACCCCTTGGGTTTGAGTAGCCCCCACTCCGACTGCCCACACAGCAAGGTACCCTCAGCAACTTGCCCAACGCTCCACACACCCACTGCTCCCCCGACCCAGCTGGCACAGAGACGAGCCCTAGAGACATGTGCACAGCTCCTGCCACCAGGCAGCAAAGCAAGGAGCCCAGAGACAGGCACACCACTCCCCGCCCTGCCACCCATGCTATTAGGCACCCATAGACACATCCGCAACTCCCACCACCCAGCCCAGCCCACTCAGGGAGAAGCCTGGTGATGCGCCCACTGCTCCCCCTACACATCCCAGCCCATGCAGCAAGAAGCCAAGAGACACACTCATCACTCCCTCCAGCCTGGCCTGCAGGGTGAAGAACCCTGGAGAGCTGCCAACCACTCCTCTTGCCCGGCCCAAGCCCACTGTGCACCCCACCTGGCCTGTGAAGCAAGGCACCCCCAGCGACCTACCCACCGCACACCCCTCCCATAAAACCTGTTGCCACCAAGTCTATTCTGACTCATAGCGACCCTACAGGACAGAGCAGAACAGCCCCACAGGGTTTCCAAGGAGCAGCTGGTGGATTCAAACTGCTGACCTTTTGGTTAGCGGCCAAGCTCTTAACCACTGCACCACCAGGGCTCCACCACGTGCCCCTCCCACACTCTACCTATTTCCTCAGTCCATCTGAACATGTGCAGAGACCCTCAGCACTCCCCCCACCACTAAGACACCAATCCATAACTAAGCAGAGGGCCTCCCTCACCCAGTAGAGGTGTACTGCATCCCTGGGTTGACCCGTCCTGCTCTCCAGAAGCCGCACTAACAGCACAGGCCAGTGTAGAAGGACCATACGGCCCCCTAAGAGCTGTGGTGGGATCCTGACCACCAGACACCTGGAGCCCCACAATGGGGAAGGGTCCTGCTCGCACACCTTCACACAAATCTACAAGGGAAGACATACGTGCCCAGTGACAGAAGACTCCCGTGTGTATGTGACTATATACCCACCAGTGAGAGAGAATCACTTCTAACTGGCAGCATTGTAGTCATACACAAAACAATACTACAAAGAAATATCAATTAAAACAATCCAAAGAAAGACAAACAATATAAACAGAAAAGGAAAAAGCTAAGCTCTAGATATATCAAAAGCAAAACGAGACAAGCATACAATCAATAAAGAAATATATAAACAAATAAAATAGAACCCTAATGAAATACAATAGAAACCTGGTGACATGCCCACTGCTCCCCCTACACAGCCCAGCCCATGCAGCAAGGAGCCCAGAGACACATTCATCACTCCCTCCAGCCTGGCCTGCAGGGTGAAAAACCCTGGAGAGCTGCCAACCACTCCTCTTGCCTGGCCCAAGCCCACTGTGCACCCCACCTGGCCTGCGAAGCAAGGCACCCCCAGCAACCTGTCCACCATATGAAGAAGCAGGATAAGGTTAAAGTAAATGAGCAAAATAAAAGGATGAAAAATCATTCTGAGGAAGAACCGATAACAGAACTATCTGACAAGGAATTCAAAAGACTAATATTTAGGCTCCTCAAAGAGATACACGCACACACACACACACACACACACAGAAAAAATCTAGAAGAATTCAGGAAAACAATACAAGAACAAAATGACAAACACAACAGAAAAACAGAAACCAGACAAAAACAACAACTATAAATTCAGAGGCTTTGCAATAAAATATCAGAAATAAACAACTCAATGGAAGGCCACAGAAGCAGAACTGAATCACTGGAAGAAAGAATCAGTGAAACAGAGGACAAATCCCTCAATCCTAATTTGAGGAACAATCAGAAAAAAGACTAAAGAAAAATGAAGAAAGCCTAAGGGTTATATGGGACCCATCAACAGGAGGACAGTATACACATATTACGAATCCCAGAAAGGTAAGAGAGAAAAAAAGAGTACAGAGAGAATTTTTGAAGATATAATGGCAGAGAAATTCCCAAATATCATGAAAGATGAGAAGATTTACATCCAAGTTCAACGAACTCCATACATGATAGACCGCAAGAGAAATTCACCAAGACGTATCATAATCACCTTCCAGAACCAAAGACAAAGAAAGAATTTTGAAAGCAGCTCATAAAAAGTGAAATATCACCTACAAAGGGGCATCAATAAGACTAAGTGCTGATTTCTCATCAGAAACCATGCAGACAAGAAGGCAATGGGATGACATATACCAAGCCCTGAAAGAAAAGAACTGCCAACCAAGAATCATATATCCAGCAAAACTGTCTTTCTAAAATGAGAGCAAAATTAGAAAAATACCAGACAAGCAGAAATTAAGGGAATTTGTAACCCACAACAGCCCTACAAAAAATATTAAAAGGAGAACTTCAGTAGCAAACCAACGACATCAGACAACAATCTGAGATAAAAATATCTGAAGCAACACACAGATACTAAGCCAGATAAAGACTTCACAAAAGCAAAATAAAGCTACAAAATTGATTACAGGGAACCAGAGATATAAAATTATAATCGACAACAACTTGAAAACAAAAGGAGGAATGAATGGTGTAGTTACATATCTTCCATATGGAGAGGAATTCAAGGCGATTTCAAGTATAACAGACTGTTTTAACCACAAAGAAAATTAATAAATCTACTCACCAAAAGAAAAACGAAAAAAAAACCCAGTAAACACAACAATAATAATAAATGAAAGGAAAAGAAAATCTATATACAAAAAGAACTCAGCACAGGAAGTAAAGAACAAAGAAACCATTAACACCACAAAAAAAGTATAATAAAACGGCAGCAGTAAATTCTTACCTATCAATAATCAGACTGAACGTAAATGAATTAAATAGACCAGTCAAGGCAGAAAGTGGCAGAACGGATTTAAAAAAAAAAAAAGACCCATCAATATGCTACATACAAGATACACATCTTAGACCCAAGGCATGAATGGGTGAAAAATCAAAGGATGGGGGAAAATATACCAAGCAAGCAGTAACAAAAAGAGAGCAGGAATGGCAATATTAATATCTGACAAAATAGATTTTAAGTCAAAATCCATCATAAGAGACAAAGAAGGACATTA